TCCGTCTAAAACTAAAAATAACTTTAGTGGAGTCGACATATCCCAGCCAACGCCCTCAATATCCCTCTCTGGCCCCTCATTTTCTCTTGAAAGAGATAAATGTAATATGCATTTGAAAAGACTCCCCCATTAACCTCTGTTGCAAGCTAGTGCCAGTCCAATACCGCGAATACAAATATGGTCTACTGGCATTACGTGCCGTCATCCTTCAGTGACTCACAAGATACAGTCGGATAAACTCCCAATCATATGAACTTCCTGTTTTAACTAACATCTCGGACTTTCCGCGATCCACGGCCCGACCACTTCATCTAGGACTTCCTGATATTCCTGGTAACGAAGTTAACACGTGGTTACTTAGAACTCAGCCATTTAGAACTCAGTGAAATCCCGTAACTTCCTCCAGTCGCGAATCTCTCTCCTATCAAGCTCGTCAACATCAGGGTCATTTGTTTACTGAAATGTTACGGCGAAGGCAACTGAGGTGAACTTTGCAGCCAGCTTATCGAGGGTAAAGAAGTTTGCACGTCGGAAGACGATGAACAACAGTACTCTGAACAAGACCACAGGCTCCCTATGTCCCAATCTGCCTATTCAAGTTACAAGCGTTCCTTACACGCCAAACGCTACAGCACAGACCATCACTCTAATAACATGCATCGTGAACGGAATATCCTGTCCAGTGGCTACTGTGGAGAATCTGCTTGTCTTCATGGTGGTTTTAAGGAGACGTTCTTTACGCACTACTTATAATACCTCTGTGCTGTGCCTGGCATTCGCAGATCTTCTAATTGCGATGTTTATCCAACCTGCGTTCATCGCTTATCAGAGCGGGAAGTATAGAAGCAGCACGTACGAGTGCATTCCGTATTTCATAAAGACTGTGTTTGAGTTCTGGTGCGTGGGTTTGACATTTGTTACCCTCGCTCTCATAACTTTGATAAGATATTTTGCCGTCTTCAGACCGTTTCAGTACCGGATCTTGGCGACCCCTTTGCGAGCAACGTTCGTAATTTTCAGTGGGTGGCTGCTGTGGACTGTGTTCAGCTTCAGTCTGAGATTTTCTTCATCTGGTATGAACTTGAAAGCTTATTCAATCTTGTGTTCAATTTTAACAACAGTTACTCTGATGGAAACGATCATCGTGTCCGTAAAATTGCACTTGGAAATCAAACAGCGTGCTGTTCAACGCACCTCAGAGCAGGATCACAACAGGGCTATCAAGGCGACCAGAACTATTTTAATAATCACTGGAGCGTTTTTTATCTGCTTCTTTCCAATATTATGCGCATCTATAGTGCATCAGACCGGCCTGGTAGAAGTTGAAGTCGTGTTTCACAGCATCTATCCACTGGCTGAGAGCGCGCTGTTTCTAACAGCCCTGATAAACCCCGCCATTTACGTATGGAGGAATGCTTCCGTAAGGAACAGTATAAAAGACTTCACAAAGTTCACGAACAGTTAAAAGTGCAGTGACTGGAAGAAGAGGTTTTAGACACGGTAATAAATCGATGTAGCTCTCTGTATCAAATAAGCTCCCCCTTTGAATCAGTTATTGTGTATAATATAAGTGCCCGGATTTCAGTTCAAATTCAAAGGCCTTACGCGGAAGTTACGAAGTAGTCTGCAAAAGTGATGATTAGTTAACAAAATTATTTTAAAGAGATACAATCAACGAGTGTATCGGGTATAGTCTCTGTTGCGAACCATATCTAAAGCTGTAGAAGGCATCACATATTCCTCGTTTGACATGTTGTCAAATTTCTAATTCTCGGTGATATTCGATCAAAACGGAAAACCCAGTAATGATAATCGAGCGGCACCTCCGGGTTAAGTGATAAATTGATGTCTAAAACGCCCAAGATGACGCACATGTAAACGGAATTTTGCTTCAGCGAACATGAATAAGTCAAGTTCACCTTTAGCAGCTGCTATGCAGCCGGAGGTGGCGTCCTAATAATATGCCGGTGATGTAGAATGTCTATGACGCGGGCTTAGTTCGGCTGATTTTCCACCTTCCTTCAAGATGGATCGCAGACTGTTGTGAACCATATCTAAAGCTGTAGAAGGCATCACATATTCCTCCTTTGACATTTTGTCAAATTTCTAATTCTCGGTGATATTCGATCAAAACGGAAAACCCAGTAATGATAATCGAGCGGCACCTCCGGGTTAAGTGATAAATTGATGTCTAAAACGCCCAAGATGACGCACATGTAAACGGAATTTTGCTTCAGCGAACATGAATAAGTCAAGTTCACCTTTAGCAGCTGCTATGCAGCCGGAGGTGGCGTCCTAATAATATGCCGGTGATGTAGAATGTCTATGACGCGGGCTTAGTTCGGCTGATATTCCACCTTCCTTCAAGATGGATCGCAGACTGAAGAATACCCCAGTGAGAGTGCTTTCTGCGACAAGGCTTCAAGACTTTACAAAGCCCGTTGGTAATATATTTGAAAACATTCTTTCTTAAATTTGTGATTAAATAGTTTGTTTTTAGGTTGTTAGGTCACAGACAAAAATTGCTTAAAAAATGTAACACTTGATAAGCACTAGCGGTGAAACGAGTTGGGGGTGAAGTTACCAGCCGGAAATATTATTATCAAATGTTATATATAGATTTTGAATTCCTGATTTTAAATAAAGATTGCTTACCTTCCTGACTGGCTATTGTTTTGGGTGGATTCGCGATGAATCTCAGAGATGTTTTTGTTTGGGATACACGTCTTCCATGAAAAGATGATCATGAGACTATGATAAGACGAAACAGTCAGCGTGATCTCGGGCCCCATGTGGGTCAGTGCATTTCATTGTTACGATGTGCACACTCTTAAGAAAGATTATTTTCTGTTATTAGCTGGTGTGAAATAATTAAGTTCGGTGAAGGGGAAGGGGAAAGTTCCATCGTTTACGTCGTTTAGGTCCGTCCGAGGAAAGAGCACATTCAGCCGGGGGATATTGAGTAAAGAAGCCCTGGTAGGGATTTTCAGGATACGGGAATCAACAGGGTACAGGATATTTTGAGGAAAAATTTAAACGGATATGGGAATTTCAACAGATAACCAGGGATATCGAGTGAGAAAATTAAATTTGTTTAACTGGAATTAACGGGATACGGAATATACACACATGTATATTGAGGGTTCTGGCACAGCACTCACGCAACACAGTGCAAGCGTAACGCTACTCCTCATCTGAAGATTCGGAGTAGCGTTACGCTTGCACTGTGTTGCGTT